CTAAGCTATAAAAATTACAATAACAGCAGCTATTTTACACACAAGTATTCTTTTCTTTCTTCTAGTTCTGGAGCTCACAATTTTGCTAAACTGTTGGTGAACTTTTAGGAGAAGCAGACCATGTGTTGACCTGTGTAAAACACACAAAACCTTGAAAATATTAGAAGGTTACAGACTTTGGAACTGTGAACCTCAGCTGGAACTTCCTGCCGACTGCTTTCCTGGTTAGAAGGCATCAGGTCGAGTTTTGTGCTTTGTAGCTTACAGCATGTCTGATCACAACTGACAGACTGCTTTGAAAGCAGGCAGTAAGGATGAATGCTTAATCTGCTGCATAATATGGCTGTATAAAACAGTTTGTAACTAAGGGCAGCTAATAAAATAAAGCCCACAGGGGTAAAATGAATTATTTATAATAAAATGTGCATAATCAAAGTTTGTGAGATTTTGTGAGATTGGTCAGCTCAATTTCACTATGGTAAGAGCATCAATAAAATGACACAAATTTCTGACGTATTCTGTATCTATCTTTAATTATATAAATGATGTGCTGTTCACATTATGCACTTGTTTACATTCAGTAAACACTAATCTAGTTTCATCTAGATAAAATATCTGTAATAAAGACATCCTACTGATGTCATATTGCAAATCTTGGAATCATAGCACAGCTATACTCAGATCATGCAAGTCAGCCTTGATGCACACATAACTTCTTTGATTACTAAAGACCAATTGCTGTTGCTCACCAGTTTAGGATCTCACTCCTATTTTTAAGCTACAGAATGCCTTCAGAGAAGGAGATCTTTACTTCAAACCCATTAATGTATATTTGTTGTAGTTATCCTCTCACCTTTCTTTCTCCACCCACTTTCCAATTATTTAGAAGTCGAATACTGAGGCTCTTTTCTGGTCATGCTGAATAAGATGATATTTTGCAAATTGCTCCTGGGAAGACAGCAGGACTGTCTCCATTGTAAGCTACTAACCACTGCAGATAGAAGTGGCAAAGATGAAAGCAAGAGCTCAAACTATTCTTCTCACTGAGCTTGGTAGGGCTCAGACTGGACTGTCTGAGCAGTTTCTTGACCATCCCGTATGCATAAAAATACCCCTAAAGGAGTGGGGTCCATGAAAAAGTGCTTGTAAACGAGGTTCTCCTGAGAAGAATAGAATAAAAGGCACAAGTTTCAGCCAGTACCCTAAGTCTTGATCTGAAATAAAATTGCTACTGCAGGTATGGTCCTTTCTTTAGCTGATTCTCCTGTAAGAGTGAGGGCCTTAACATTATCACAAAAGGGAGCAAAAATCCACAGTGCTGACCCACCTTTCACATTTGAAGCCCTGGCTTCTTTTCACAGTGTTCTGCAGACAAAGATCCATAGGGAATAAAATGCGTACAGTAACTGACTTTGTTTTCCACTTTCCTTCTCTGGATCTCCAAATCTGGACAGGGCCACTGCCAAAAGCTTTGAATGAGTATGACAAAGAGGGAGGGCAGAGGGGTGGAGGGCAGAATGAATAGAACCTGTGTTTGATTGCTTTTGCTTTCACAACATTATAAAATGTAAGCATTAGGATCATAACATGAACCTCAGCAGTTTTTTAAGGACTCGTCCTATTCTCCCATAGAAGGAAAGGGAGCAAAACATCTGATGTGTGGTGTCCTTTTGCCAGAAGAACAACAATTTGGAAGTGGAAGACAGGTGTATAACAAGACAGGTAGGCAGGGGAACCAGAATGATCACATAATCAAGCTCATTCTTTTTATGTGAATCCAGGTCATCATTTGAATGCCAGACAATATGCCCAGATTTTAGCTGGAGGAAAGAAAACAGCAAGGCATTGACCCAAAAAGGCAATGTTCAAGTCTTATGAATACTTTAGTCCTGTCTATTAAAAGGAATCCTCAAGCTTTCCCAAAAAGAACGCTTTCATTTCATGCTCCCTTTTTCTATATCTTATACACAGAGAAAACAATTGGAAGCATTCTAGAAGGATCAACAGTATATTTAAAATAGAAAAACAATCCATTTCTCTTGCTCCTATTTGTACCATTGTCTCTTGTGCTTGAAATTGATAGCCAATATACTAGGCCTCATGATGCTATTCCCATGAACTTGAGAAATTAATGATTGATGTCAGGTGTCCTTTTGATGCAATGTTATATATTAAAGAAATCATTGTTTTCTTGCCTTTTCAAATATCAAAGAACTGAACACACCCTCCTTTTAAAGAAATCTTCACATCTGTCACTACAATAATCCCCAGGTCCTAATGCACCAAGCAAGGGAGATGGATAGAGGGATCAGAAATAAAAACATGCATTTCAGAAATCGTCTTCATATAATGGATCGTCTGTGTTAGGGTGGGACAAGGATTTGGTTGAACAAAAATGTTAGCAGGGATGTGTGGTTAACCAAAGCTATTGTGATATGATATACAGGAAGCCACAACAGATTTATGCCTGTATTCAAAGAAGTAATTTTGCTGACCTTCTTCTAAAAGTACCTGGCTCTGCGCATAAGTCTTAAAATCTCAGGTGCTGATCTTGAAAAAGCTTAGCACTAACTATAACAGCCCTGCTGAACTCAAACTGATTACCCGAATAGTGTCAAGCAGCTAATGATTTGTAAATCTATCTGCTAAGCAGGACAGGGGAATTGGTTTGAAGTTGAAGGAGGGAAGATTCAGGCTGGATGTCAGGGGGAAGTTTTTTACTATAAGAGTGGTGAGGTGCTGGAACAACCAGAGAGGTTGTGGATGCCCCGTCCCTGGAGGTGTTCAAGGCCAGGTTGGATGGGGCCCTGGGCAGCCTGGTCTGGTATTAAATGGGGAGGTTGGTGGCCCTGCCTGTGGCGAGGGGTTGGAGATTCATGAATCTTGAGGTCCCTTCCAACCCTGGCCATTCTGTGATTCTGCTCAGGAGGAAATATCCTCCTCTTCTATATTCTGTTCTTGACAACAGAATATGAATGTGTAACAGTAAGCAATTCAGTGTCAGTCTGATGAAATGTAACAAGAAAATATCCACTTTATGATATTGTAATGATAGTGTTAAGTATTTATGTAAGAAAAAAGGTTAGACACATTTTTGCTCAATATTTTTCGTAACTTTTCTTATAAGTGATTGCCTCCAACTGAACAGGTCCTTCAGGGAAAACCAAAAGACTTTCAAAATAGAGATTCGGCTGTACAACACCTATTTCACAACAACAGGTTTTTTTTTGTTTGTTTGTTTTGTTTTTACTAAGTATGATTATTGAGTGAAAATGCCAATAGGAAGGCTTCTCCACCAACTTCCCATGAATAATATTGCTTCTCTGGTATACTGCATTACTTTTCCATTGGAATAGACAGGCAATTTTTTCTTGCCAGATTAAAGGATGCTCCCAGGAATTTGCCACAGGAAAGTTATAAAAGAGAGGAGAAAACAGCTGAGAAGAAAGCAACTGAAAAACATTCAAGACTGTCTGAGCATCAGGAACCCAGGTAATCTTGAAAACCAACGCTAGCTGTTGCAACCACAGGTGAATCGAAACAGAAGCAACTGCTCAAACAGAAACATTTACACTGTTTTTACTTTAATTTGAGACTGGGTGGGAAGGTAAGCACATTTCATAAAACAATAAGCAAAGAAAAACAATGCTGCTGCTTTTTAGCACTTACGAAGCAGGCAGGTATGTGTGATCTGAACTTGAGAACCAAACTTTCATAAGCAGCAATACAGAGAAACGTCTGTTTTCTTAAACCAAGACAAAGCAAAGTAAAAAATAATCTGGGAATATGTAGAAATACTACTAGTTCTGGAGCAGTCTAATGTATCTACTGTGGTTATACACAGGCAAATTGTGCTTGTTTGCTTCTATTCAGGTGCATGAAGAACAGCTAGCCACTCCTTCCGTTCATTTGCTTCTACCTCATTCACCTGTCAAAACATCTGTTTACAAGGCATTGGTCACTTATCTCCTGCAAATGAAGAACCTGATCCAAATGCTATTGAAATCAGTTGCAAATGTCCCTCTGAATGGGATCTGGGTGAAGTCCTTAACGTGTGCGAGCAGTTCCATAAGAGGGCAGAAGAGACAGTAAAATACACTTATCCAGAACATCTGTGTATTTTCCTAAGTTTACAGGTGAAGGAGCACAGTTTACAAGAAGTATAAATAATGTACCAAGTAATTTCAGAATTGACGGGTGTAATTGACATTGAGCCTAGCTCATATAAATAAACCTCCAGCATTCACAACTTTAAGACAAACAAACGAATCAGAAAAGAAACATGACAAGCCACATGGGAGGGGAAAACAGCGTTATAGGTGACTCAATGAACAGCAGGTTATTCAGCATGCAGGAGGGGAATAGATAGCAGTCTAAATTACAATCCTGTTCTATTCTCACTTTTTCTTTAATTATGGACTGTCAGCCTTATATTTGGCCAATAGATGACGGTTCAAATCATCAGACTATGTAATCTCTCACAAGCAAATCATCCTGTTAAGGTATAACTTATTTCACAGCTGCATAACACAAAGAGTATGGCCACTAAAAACTTAGCCCAATATCCTCTCAAGTATTATATATTTTTCCACTAGTAGAAGTAATCAATGGAATTATATTTTTTAAAGTAGAATAGTTATCTAGCAATTTATAATTTGAAATCCACATTGAGTGAATTATAGTATTATATTATTAGAAATAATATAATAATACAGTAATAACAGATAAAATTGTATTTGAGTGAATTTGATCCTGAATATCTAAAGACTGGCACAGAAACACTCTTCCATTTAAGAAGGAACGTGCTGTAATTCAACAGAACTGAATAAATTAAGGTATTGCAGAAGTAATGTTAATTTATTGGCTAATAGTTACACATCCACAATGGCACAAAGATATACAAGCAGAAGCAAGGATAAAAAAAAGGTGTTACTCAGCTGTGGCATATTAAAAGTGAAAGAAGTGGCTAAAAAGGATCAAATGAGTTAAAAGACTGTTACCTGGAAGCTGCAACATTAGCCACTGTAGAAGCGATGAGGGCTACAAACTGGACATATATTTCCTCCAGATTAAAGGCTGTATTTGAAAGCACCTCCTTTTGGTCTCTAGGAAGGAAACAGGAGAAAGAGTCAGTCTTCATCTTAAATATTATCTCAGACAGGAAATTCAGCCCTTACAGAAGAGTTAAGGCACCTCTCATCAAAGCTGACCTGAAGACATAAAATAAATAAATAAAAAGTTACGCCTGCACTAGGAACTTTGTGAAAGGGCACAGAGCTCTTGCAGCAAGGGCTCTGCTTTCTTTGTTCTTCAAAGGGCTAAAACTGTCCTGGCTAGTCCCTAGGGAATAGGCTGGACACATTCTCATGTAGTTTCAAAGTGTTAAAATGGCAGTTGATTCCTACAAGCAGATCCCAGATTGCCAAATGTGAACCTCCTGCGTTTCTGTGTCCTCATCCAAAGAGCTGTGCTACCTGAGTGGGAGTCCTGCTTATCCTCCTCAGATACAGATGCACCGATCTTTGCCCTTAAAGTCAGAGCTAAAAGGAGCAACTCTAGCCAGCTTTTTGTCATGCCACAATTCCCTTATGCTGGCCCACACAGAAGAGCAACACTTTGAAAAGAAAGGCATTTGCACCCTTAGGAGAAATGCATGTAATACCGTTATTAAAAACCCTTTGCTCATAACTTCTCCAATGATGTGAATCAAATGCTGTTTATCTGTATCAACAAACTATTTTTTCCTCTTTTTATCAGCACTGCATTGTTAAATACAGGAATGATATTTTCCTGGGATTACACACGCAAATAAAATTTCACCTCATAGCAGCCTTAGCACTCTGCCATCAAGTGTGATTCCTGCTGGCAGATTATCTTTCACATAAATACGTACCTTGCTATAAGAAACATCACCTTAAATTGCATGGGCCCCAGCTAGACTCAAGCTCTGTCAGAACAGCCTTCTAGGAAACGATCTAATTCTATAAGTGGAGGTAACTCCTAATAATTACTTCTGATTTATTCCAAATCTCAGCAAATAATCAGCTCCTGATTCTGAAGACCAGCAATCACCATTTTAGAAGAGAAATACTTACTTATATTTTGTGAATAATGAATAAATTGCCAGCACAGATTTCCCAGATGGTTTTTAAAATTGTTGAGATCCCCAGGTTTTCACTGATGGCATCAACTTTGGCAACAATCCTACTCTAAAGAATGTCATTACGTTAATTATTACTACTACATAAAACAAGAACTCCAGCTCACATTCTCTGCCTAACATATGTTGAACAGGTGAAAATATATTAGAGAAGATAGACTTCTGGGTTAAATACTTCAAAATAAATAACTGAGATGTTTTCGAATCTCACTGAAAAACAAAGCATTTGTAACAGAGACAATGCAAGCATCTGTAGTAACGTAACAGAAAGTTTAATACAGAAATGCCAAGCCAGAGAGCTAAAAATCAAAGTTCCCTCGGGGTGATGACCTTTGCCTCCAGTGATTTATCAAAATAACAAGTCTTAAATGGAATTATCACAAAAGACATTAATTTGCCCTACTGGTTCAGAGCACCACAGCATTTAACACAATTACACAGGCAAGCCCCAGGCCCAAGCAGTCTGCTCTTTCAAATGGCAGCAGCAATAAATCACTGCATGTTCAGAACCAATTTATGCTTTGTATGAAAATATACTTGAGAAACACGACCACACGTTCACAGAGTCACAGAATGGCCAGGGTTGGATGGGACCTCAAGGTTCATGAATCTCCAACCCCTCGCCACAGGCAGGGCCACCAATCTCCCCATTTAATACCAGACCAGGCTGCCCAGGGCCCCATCCAACCTGGCCTTGAACACCTCCAGGGACGGGGCATCCACAAGCTCTCTGGGCAGCTGTTCCAGCACCTCACCACTCTTACAGTAAAGAATTTCACCCTGACATCCAACCTCAATCTTCCCTCCCTCAACTGCAAACCATTTCCCCTATCCTGCTGTTATCTACACTTCCAAAGAATTGATTCCCCTCCTGTTTGTAGGCTCCCTTTAGGCACTGGAAGGCTGCAATCAGGTCGCCCTGTAGCCTTCTTTTCTCCAGGCTGAACAAGCTCAGCTCCCTCAGCCTATCAACGCTGTTGGGAGCAAGTTAATATTTTTCTTCCTAATATCTTGAGAATTCTTCTCACGGTTCTCTCAGCAAGATTCATATTTCCTCCTGCCTCTCTCAAATGCATCTTCTGAGATTAGCTTTTGTGGCCTTTACTGTGCTGCTCATTTGTTCTACAGCTGAGCCTCTACCTGCTTTGCACAGCTGTACGCTGTGCAGGATCTCTGTAACTGGAGGCCCATTAAAATGACTGAGAAACAGTCCATTCTTGATAGTTCGGTTAGACACAGGCTAGCAAGTGTCCAGGAACAGTTTATGAGGTGACCTTTTAATTGCCATGCCTTTATTTCCCCTTTCCAATCTTCCCTAATTTAACTCTGCAAACCCACACAAAATAACATCAGCTGTGCAAAATAAGGTGCTTGTGATATTTATTAAAAACAAACAAACAAACAAACTACCAAAACTTCAGGCACTTTAATTTTCTCACTTACAAATATAATTTATAAGGTCAGTGGCTGAAAACAGGTTTTTTTTAGGACTCCAGATAAAGTGACAAGACCCCACCAAAGAAACTGGCAGGACCAACATAATTTCTGTGTCTGCACACTTTAATTTTTTGGTATAGCTATGAAAGGGTAAATCAGAGGAACTGAGAAGGCCCACAGGATCAGTTGTCCTTTGAAGGAGGAGCTGAAAGAGGGGCAATTTTTTATGAATAAGCAGAAAAGACTGATATCTCAAATAGAAAAAAAGTGATCTTATCTCTCCTATAAAGAACAGAGTAAGAAAAAGAAGTTTTTGTGTTTTTGGGAGGTCTGGCAGATTTACATTGCTGCTAGACCAAATTCATGTCTGTTTTGCACTCCAAACTTAAAGTGATGGCCGAAAGTTTTATTTCCTGATTTGCACCTAGCCAAAATGCACCCTGTTGGATGAGATCTTCTGGTTCTAGTAATATACTGGAAACTAACCACAGTAAAGAGATTTTGTACATGGGTCACTCTGAAAGCAGTGTCTCCCATTAATTTCCACAGAAAATGCAACAGCTATAAAGAGCACAACAGCACTGTGTGATTGAGCAAATTCTCAGCTACAAAATACTAATTTTCAACCCTGTCACACCATTAACTATGTTTTTTCACCAGTGATGAAGAAGAGACTGCATGCTGCACTCAGAAAAATCTGCATCAGTGGAGGTGACCCACTGTCTGTGGCCACTGCTGAGAGGCACCACTCCCTGCCTCACTGTGCGCACACCCACTGTTTGCTCTCCAGAAACACTCAGCAAGCATCAATGAATTCCAATGGATCTAATTTTTTCCTCATGGAGGAATTCAGCTCCACACCTTTGCTTTATATGCACACCTCCATGCTTTTTTGTCAGACTGCCCCTCTGCTGCCATCTGTCACATGGCAACAAAATGTAATGGAATATTGGCAGGGAGGTTCAGCCTCTGCTGCCATACCACCAACATCTGCCTCCGACATTGTGAGCTAACATTATAAAATAGGAGGCCTTACTTTTGGAGCAGTCATATGTTTCCACCATTTCAGGTATGTTTCTCAAATAATTTCCAGTCATACAGAGTATTCTCATGTTCTTCAACATAAACATCTGCTTTAAAGAAAATAAGCTGCAAAGATAAAGCTAAGGTAATAGTGCCTATGTTAGAACTCATTGAACATCCACACTGAGAGTAAACAATTCCCTCAGAATATGTGCAATCTGACTTAGTTCTATTCTATTGTAATTTTTTATTGCTACAATGTACAACTTACAATTATTTGAAACCAATAGAAAAAACTGCTATGTAAATAGGCTTTGTATGCTGTTTTTTTTTTTCTTCCTAAGCCACTGCCTGATATTATTAATATAGAATTAGTGCACATTTTCATCACGTCTTTCACCAAACAGTTCACTGGAATGAATTAGTAGACGTACCAAAGAGAATGTTTATCCCCTGGTTAGGAGCTCACGTCCATACTTAGGTACCTAAAGAAATGCTCAACCTCTACGAACTTCCAGAGACATTTTAAAAACTATCTTTAAATTTGCTTTGGCAGTGACTCAGAAAACAAGAGAATCATTACAACCATAAAAGTTGTTTCCACTTATTTTATCTTTCTCTTTTTCCAGAACAGATTCCACACTGATAACCCTTTTGTATTAAGAATTATGACACCACATAAAATTATTGACTTCATTTCAGTGTATTGTAAGGCTACTGTATTTAATGTGTTTTGATAATTTTGAAAAGACACAAGATACCAGCTCTGCCAGTCAATTCTGGAGTTGAGTGCAGACAACCAGTAAGTCATCTGGTTTAATTCTCCCAAGAAATGACTACCATTATGTCTACTTGTCACAGGGAGATCCTATCACTCTCTGTGGAGTCAGTCTGAAGGCTACTTAGCTATGGATGCAAAACATTTGAAGCTCTCCATGCGTGCTGTTTAAGCACAATTGGCTTTGGATTCACATAATGATCTTTTGCTGGAGACTTCCATTTTTTCTGTCATTCCTCAGCAGTGGAATGTTTTTCAGATGATAACAAAGCCATAATATACTGGCTTAGTATTTCCAGTGTGGAATTATTCAATACTATATTATTGAATGTCCCACAGACATTCAATAACCATACATGTAAAAAGAAAAAATGGACTCTTTCCATAATAAAATTAAATGAAATAGCCACTTTGCCTGATAGGGTAAGAAAAATAGGAAAAAAAAGATATGACATCTATGTTAGGTGTGGGGCAAAAAGAAGAATTCCTAATAAGCTTGGATTTTAGATTTCTCCTTGTTATGCTGACATACAGAAAAGTCACTATGATTATTAACTGGTTTTGTTTTATGGGACTGATTGAGTTGTATACAAAGCCTGTGCTTTCATTTCTACATCCATAAGGGGATCACTTTGAATTTGTTGGACTTAATTCAAAAATGTTTACTAGGCAGAGTGTTTCTTCTTCTGAATGAGATGTTCTCTAGA